CATCGGCGAGATATTGTTCCTGGACGGCACGCACAGCCGCCTCACAAGCCGCCGGCACACCAACACACAGCTGATGAGGGATCACGGCTGTCGCGATATCAGACGATATACACTGCAACACAGCCTTAGCGATGATCCGGCGAGCGACTTCCCCCACCGCAATCGGGCGCACACCTGGTCTCTTGTCCAATGCCACGAGCCGTGCCGCAACAAAAGCCGACAGAGAAGCAGGGTCTATATCCGTCGTGCATATCCTCTTGGCAGCAGCAGCAAGAGCGGCAGCCAAATTTGAAGAAGCACCTTTAAAGGCCGAGAGCATACGCTGCCAGGCCTGCACGTAGTAGTAGTAGTAGTAGTAGTAGTAGTAGTAGTAGTAGTAGTAGTAGTAGTAGTAGTAGTAGTAGTAGTAGTAGTAGTAGTAGTAGTAGTAGTAGTAGTAGTAGTAGTAGTAGTAGCAAATTGTAAACCATCCGAGGAAGAAGAGAAAGCCATTAAAAATAAAAAATAAAACAAAAAAGGTTATTGTACCATGCCAAACGGCTATTATTAAGTCATGTACCAATTGTAATACATGACGTAGTATAGTAGTCAAGCACCTACAAAATACTTTGCAGGATAATATTTAAATTGCCTAGCATGCCTACAAATCCGCAGAGCATGCCAATGTTAAATAGGCCAACATATGAATACCGAAGGCGGTTACATGGACAGAAGGCGACATTGGTCGAGAAAAGATGGGCCTATTCTCTTCCTCAAGTAAGACGCTCTGCAACCACGGAGGCACGTGATTGACCACCTCAGCAAAACAAATGCAATTTTGCAGCGTAGCTGTGCCATCACAACAGCATACTGGAGGTCACTATGCTTGTTTACCACCAGCTGAACAATGTTCTTCAATGCACGAGAGCACTCCGTGCCACATACGCCGTTTGTCGAGAATACGAGCGGAGTGAATGACCCCCTCTCGACATCGACAACACGCTGAAGATAGGCCCGCTTCTTCTGATGTTCATTCCGGGAAATCTGTGCAAGGACTTCCTGTCGCGACAGCAAAGATGCCGAGGGGTGAGTAACCCTCACATCAAAGAATGCATCTTGCTGTGGCGACCAAAAGCCCCTTGCACGGATATCCAATCGAGCCTCTGCAGCACGATTAGCGGTAGCGCCGTGAAGTTGTTCACCATCCAACGGCAAAAGCGGTGGCTCTGTCTGAACATCCGGGATGGCAGAAGTCATCACCTCCACCAGCACATCACGAAGCTCATTGTGTCGCAGACTTGGGTAGCCCCCTGTAGGGCATGTCAATGCATGGTCGACAGACATGTCTCTACCACACACACAAGTTGGTGGGAGGCCATCAATACCCCAGCCATAGCGCAGGGCGAGACCATCCCGGAAACATGCTTTATTTAGCGCAAAGCCGTTCACAGCCAGAGGCTCAGCCGTTAGCCAACTGGACACGCCAGCATCAGCAGCAATCTCCAACAGCACTCGCTGACATGGGCTGAGCTCAGGACGCAAAGCAACCTGAGCCTCCTTAGCCGCAGTAGCCATTCTCCGACGTTCGGCATTTCGCAACGCTATTACCTCCGCCTGCAAATCAGCCGGAGCAATGTCAGCATCAGGGCGACGAAGCAAATCAATCACCGGCCGTGCCGAGGCCATACTGGAGGTCCACTGATGCACTGCATGGGGCCCAATGGCAGGAATTGAGAGACCACCGGACTTAACAGGCAAGCCGATGAGACTCCGCTCAATGGCGGACATGTTCTTCCGACCAGTGATTGCTGGTATCAAACTGTTGTCAATCACATTATCTAGCCTGCCGAAAGCATCCGGCTCCGGCAAGCCATGTGAGGACATATGATAGCGCCAACGCGACCTCAATCCACGGGAGAAAACAGAATATGCAGCATGTGGCTGGGTTTCCGCCAGAGTGGAGAGAGTACCGACCTCCCTGCACCATACGGAAACATGACGACACAGACTCTCCTGTACAAATTCCTCCTCACCAATGGCCCCACCAAGATAACGAACACCATTGGTCAGCACACGTATACCCGTTGGGTCGAACAGCTCTCGGGCTTCTGACTCCAGGGCGGGTTTCACCAGCAGAACTGTCTTGGCTGCATTAGGGTAATATCCATACTTCGGGCCAATCTCCTCGATTGATTTCCAAAACGAATGCACGGCCGCCAATCTGCCACCAGACTCGCCATCATCCGCGTACCAGCATTGGTTCACATCAGGGTGCTGTTCACGGAGTTTACAAATCATAGGAGCCACCGCAAGAGCAAACATGGCCATGGCCAGAGGGTCTCCCTGACAAGTTCCCTCGCGCGAGTACAATACCACGCCACCAGGAAGAAATAGTGGAATATCCGCACCATATGTATTACGACAAATTTTTTCCATCGGTGGACACACACGTGCGATATTATGCAAGGCGGCCTTCCTGTTGATTGCGTTAAAGGCATTAGATGCATCGATGAGTAAGATTGCATCAGTGTCATCGGCGAGATATTGTTCCTGGACGGCACGCACAGCCGCCTCACAAGCCGCCGGCACACCAACACACAGCTGATGAGGGATCACGGCTGTCGCGATATCAGACGATATACACTGCAACACAGCCTTAGCGATGATCCGGCGAGCGACTTCCCCCACCGCAATCGGGCGCACACCTGGTCTCTTGTCCAATGCCACGAGCCGTGCCGCAACAAAAGCCGACAGAGAAGCAGGGTCTATATCCGTCGTGCATATCCTCTTGGCAGCAGCAGCAAGAGCGGCAGCCAAATTTGAAGAAGCACCTTTAAAGGCCGAGAGCATACGCTGCCAGGCCTGCACGTAGTAGTAGTAGTAGTAGTAGTAGTAGTAGTAGTAGTAGTAGTAGTAGTAGTAGTAGTAGTAGTAGTAGTAGTAGTAGTAGTAGTAGTAGTAGTAGTAGTAGTAGTAGTAGTAGTAGTAGTAGTAGTAGTAGTAGTAGTAGTAGTAGTAGTAGTAGTAGTAGTAGTAGTAGTAGTAGTAGTAGTAGTAGTAGTAGTAGTAGTAGTAGTAGTAGTAGTAGTAGTAGTAGTAGTAGTAGTAGTAGTAGTAGTAGTAGTAGTAGTAGTAGTAGTAGTAGTAGTAGTAGTAGTAGTAGTAGTAGTAGTAGTAGTAGTAGTAGTAGTAGTAGTAGTAGTAGTAGTAGTAGTAGTAGTAGTAGTAGTAGTAGTAGTAGTAGTAGTAGTAGTAGTAGTAGTAGTAGTAGTAGTAGTAGTAGTAGTAGTAGTAGTAGTAGTAGTAGTAGTAGTAGTAGTAGTAGTAGTAGTAGTAGTAGTAGTAGTAGTAGTAGTAGTAGTAGTAGTAGTAGTAGTAGTAGTAGTAGTAGTAGTAGTAGTAGTAGTAGTAGTAGTAGTAGTAGTAGTAGTAGTAGTAGTAGTAGTAGTAGTAGTAGTAGTAGTAGTAGTAGTAGTAGTAGTAGTAGTAGTAGTAGTAGTAGTAGTAGTAGTAGTAGTAGTAGTAGTAGTAGTAGTAGTAGTAGTAGTAGTAGTAGTAGTAGTAGTAGTAGTAGTAGTAGTAGTAGTAGTAGTAGTAGTAGTAGTAGTAGTAGTAGTAGTAGTAGTAGTAGTAGTAGTAGTAGTAGTAGTAGTAGTAGTAGTAGTAGTAGTAGTAGTAGTAGTAGTAGTAGTAGTAGTAGTAGTAGTAGTAGTAGTAGTAGTAGTAGTAGTAGTAGTAGTAGTAGTAGTGGTAGTGGTAGTGGTAGTGGTAGTGGTAGTGGTAGTGGTAGTGGTAGTGGTAGTGGTAGTGGTAGTGGTAGTGGTAGTGGTAGTGGTAGTGGTAGTGGTAGTGGTAGTGGTAGTGGTAGTGGTAGTGGTAGTGGTAGTGGTAGTGGTAGTGGTAGTGGTAGTGGTAGTGGTAGTGGTAGTGGTAGTGGTAGTGGTAGTGGTAGTGGTAGTGGTAGTGGTAGTGGTAGTGGTAGTGGTAGTGGTAGTGGTAGTGGTAGTGGTAGTGGTAGTGGTAGTGGTAGTGGTAGTGGTAGTGGTAGTGGTAGTGGTAGTGGTAGTGGTAGTGGTAGTGGTAGTGGTAGTGGTAGTGGTAGTGGTAGTGGTAGTGGTAGTGGTAGTGGTAGTGGTAGTGGTAGTGGTAGTGGTAGTGGTAGTGGTAGTGGTAGTGGTAGTGGTAGTGGTAGTGGTAGTGGTAGTGGTAGTGGTAGTGGTAGTGGTAGTGGTAGTGGTAGTGGTAGTGGTAGTGGTAGTGGTAGTGGTAGTGGTAGTAGTAGTAGTAGTAGTAGTAGTAGTAGTAGTAGTAGTAGTAGTAGTAGTAGTAGTAGTAGTAGTAGTAGTAGTAGTAGTAGTAGTAGTAGTAGTAGTAGTAGTAGTAGTAGTAGTAGTAGTAGTAGTAGTAGTAGTAGTAGTAGTAGTAGTAGTAGTAGTAGTAGTAGTAGTAGTAGTAGTAGTAGTAGTAGTAGTAGTAGTAGTAGTAGTAGTAGTAGTAGTAGTAGTAGTAGTAGTAGTAGTAGTAGTAGTAGTAGTAGTAGTAGTAGTAGTAGTAGTAGTAGTAGTAGTAGTAGTAGTAGTAGTAGTAGTAGTAGTAGTAGTAGTAGTAGTAGTAGTAGTAGTAGTAGTAGTAGTAGTAGTAGTAGTAGTAGTAGTAGTAGTAGTAGTAGTAGTAGTAGTAGTAGTAGTAGTAGTAGTAGTAGTAGTAGTAGTAGTAGTAGTAGTAGTAGTAGTAGTAGTAGTAGTAGTAGTAGTAGTAGTAGTAGTAGTAGTAGTAGTAGTAGTAGTAGTAGTAGTAGTAGTAGTAGTAGTAGTAGTAGTAGTAGTAGTAGTAGTAGTAGTAGTAGTAGTAGTAGTAGTAGTAGTAGTAGTAGTAGTAGTAGTAGTAGTAGTAGTAGTAGTAGTAGTAGTAGTAGTAGTAGTAGTAGTAGTAGTAGTAGTAGTAGTAGTAGTAGTAGTAGTAGTAGTAGTAGTAGTAGTAGTAGTAGTAGTAGTAGTAGTAGTAGTAGTAGTAGTAGTAGTAGTAGTAGTAGTAGTAGTAGTAGTAGTAGTAGTAGTAGTAGTAGTAGTAGTAGTAGTAGTAGTAGTAGTAGTAGTAGTAGTAGTAGTAGTAGTAGTAGTAGTAGTAGTAGTAGTAGTAGTAGTAGTAGTAGTAGTAGTAGTAGTAGTAGTAGTAGTAGTAGTAGTAGTAGTAGTAGTAGTAGTAGTAGTAGTAGTAGTAGTAGTAGTAGTAGTAGTAGTAGTAGTAGTAGTAGTAGTAGTAGTAGTAGTAGTAGTAGTAGTAGTAGTAGTAGTAGTAGTAGTAGTAGTAGTAGTAGTAGTAGTAGTAGTAGTAGTAGTAGTAGTAGTAGTAGTAGTAGTAGTAGTAGTAGTAGTAGTAGTAGTAGTAGTAGTAGTAGTAGTAGTAGTAGTAGTAGTAGTAGTAGTAGTAGTAGTAGTAGTAGTAGTAGTAGTAGTAGTAGTAGTAGTAGTAGTAGTAGTAGTAGTAGTAGTAGTAGTAGTAGTAGTAGTAGTAGTAGTAGTAGTAGTAGTAGTAGTAGTAGTAGTAGTAGTAGTAGTAGTAGTAGTAGTAGTAGTAGTAGTAGTAGTAGTAGTAGTAGTAGTAGTAGTAGTAGTAGTAGTAGTAGTAGTAGTAGTAGTAGTAGTAGTAGTAGTAGTAGTAGTAGTAGTAGTAGTAGTAGTAGTAGTAGTAGTAGTAGTAGTAGTAGTAGTAGTAGTAGTAGTAGTAGTAGTAGTAGTAGTAGTAGTAGTAGTAGTAGTAGTAGTAGTAGTAGTAGTAGTAGTAGTAGTAGTAGTAGTAGTAGTAGTAGTAGTAGTAGTAGTAGTAGTAGTAGTAGTAGTAGTAGTAGTAGTAGTAGTAGTAGTAGTAGTAGTAGTAGTAGTAGTAGTAGTAGTAGTAGTAGTAGTAGTAGTAGTAGTAGTAGTAGTAGTAGTAGTAGTAGTAGTAGTAGTAGTAGTAGTAGTAGTAGTAGTAGTAGTAGTAGTAGTAGTAGTAGTAGTAGTAGTAGTAGTAGTAGTAGTAGTAGTAGTAGTAGTAGTAGTAGTAGTAGTAGTAGTAGTAGTAGTAGTAGTAGTAGTAGTAGTAGTAGTAGTAGTAGTAGTAGTAGTAGTAGTAGTAGTAGTAGTAGTAGTAGTAGTAGTAGTAGTAGTAGTAGTAGTAGTAGTAGTAGTAGTAGTAGTAGTAGTAGTAGTAGTAGTAGTAGTAGTAGTAGTAGTAGTAGTAGTAGTAGTAGTAGTAGTAGTAGTAGTAGTAGTAGTAGTAGTAGTAGTAGTAGTAGTAGTAGTAGTAGTAGTAGTAGTAGTAGTAGTAGTAGTAGTAGTAGTAGTAGTAGTAGTAGTAGTAGTAGTAGTAGTAGTAGTAGTAGTAGTAGTAGTAGTAGTAGTAGTAGTAGTAGTAGTAGTAGTAGTAGTAGTAGTAGTAGTAGTAGTAGTAGTAGTAGTAGTAGTAGTAGTAGTAGTAGTAGTAGTAGTAGTAGTAGTAGTAGTAGTAGTAGTAGTAGTAGTAGTAGTAGTAGTAGTAGTAGTAGTAGTAGTAGTAGTAGTAGTAGTAGTAGTAGTAGTAGTAGTAGTAGTAGTAGTAGTAGTAGTAGTAGTAGTAGTAGTAGTAGTAGTAGTAGTAGTAGTAGTAGTAGTAGTAGTAGTAGTAGTAGTAGTAGTAGTAGTAGTAGTAGTAGTAGTAGTAGTAGTAGTAGTAGTAGTAGTAGTAGTAGTAGTAGTAGTAGTAGTAGTAGTAGTAGTAGTAGTAGTAGTAGTAGTAGTAGTAGTAGTAGTAGTAGTAGTAGTAGTAGTAGTAGTAGTAGTAGTAGTAGTAGTAGTAGTAGTAGTAGTAGTAGTAGTCATTTATTCCCGGGAGGGTACATGCCAAGGGGATCCTCTTGCCATGGCGTTCTACGCTCTCGCGACTGTGCCCCTGGCATCTCGGCTGTCGCGTCGACTTCCAAGCACCAGCCAGATTTGGTACGCGGATGACGATGCCGCAGCCGGAGAGCTCCTGCCGCTGCGTGGGTATTGGGATTGCATCGTGGAGGAGGGGCCCCGGTATGGCTACCACCCCAATGCCATGAAGACGGTTTTACTCGTCCGTCCACATTTAATGGAAAGGGCCCAGGAGGTATTTGCCGGCACTGATGTCCGTATCCGGAGCGACGGCGTTCGTTACCTTGGCGGGGCCATTGGAGACCAACAGTTCCGAGAGAATTTTGTGAAGAGCCGTGTTGAGGAACTGTCCACACTGGTTAGGCGCCTTGCTGGTCTGGCTGTCACCCAGCCTCAGGCGGCCTTTCGCGTCTTCTCTGCCTCTCTGCAGTCCCGTTGGACCTATCTGCAGCGTGCAGTCTTTGTGGACCCTGTCCTGTATACGCCACTGGATGACGTCATCAACAAACATCTGCTGCCAGCATTGACAGGCCATCCTCTTGCGGCTGATGGTGTACTCCGTCAGCTCTTTGCAATGCCTGTGAGGAATGGAGGGTTGGCTATCCGCATTGGCAGTTTGCGTGCGGAGGCTGAGTACCTCCTTTGCCGGACGTCGATAATGCCCATGGTGGATTGCGTGCTGACTGGTGCTGTTGATGGTCCTGATGCTATCGACGGTCCTGTTGCCGATATCATCGCTGCCTCCAGGGGCTTGGCCACGCAGGCTCGCCGGGAACGCCGGGCGCAGCACAATGCTGCATTGGAGGAGATCAGGCCCGCTCTGACGGATGAGCAGCGCCTACTAGTGGATGTCGCGGGTGACGGCGGTGTGTCAACGTGGCTGGTTACGCCTCCATCGGCTTCATTTCCTTTAACTATATTCAACAAGTCTGATTTTCGAGACGCATTGTGCCTGAGGTATGGCCTGCCGCTTGATGGCATATCATTATCCTGTGTTTGTGGCCAAGACATGTCAGTTCATCACGCCCTCACGTGCCCAAGCGGGGGATACCCTACCCAGAGACATAATGAACTTCGCGACCTCCTAGCGGACGCACTCGCTAGTGTTGTTTGCGATGTCGAGATTGAGCCACCGCTGATGCCGTTGGGTGGTGAAGCCGTCTCTGGGGGCTCAGCTGACGGTGCTCGTGTGGATATACGGGCTCGTGGCTTCTGGACCAGGCAGCAAAACGCCTTTTTTGATGTACGGGTCACGCACCCAAGGCCGTCTTTGCTGTCTGGAGAAGTGTCGAGGCAGTTATCCCAACACGAGCGTCAGAAGAAACGTCAGTATTCCGATCGAATCAACCAGGTGGATCGAGGATCGTTCACTCCGCTTGTTTTCGCCACCAGTGGACAGTGTGCTCCCGAATGTGGCATCTTCCTCAAGACCCTCGCAACACAATTGCACCATAAGAACTCGGACATACCGTATCGTCTCATCATCAGCCACTTGCGCTCGAGAATCAGTCTATCTCTGATGCGGTGGCAGATTACTTGCTTCCGGGGGTCACGTGCATCATACCTACGCAGTGGATCCGGCATTGGCCGACATTGCTTTGTAACGGAGTGCCGTACATTGGCTCATATGCCGCGCTGACGGGCATCAATGGACCATAATATTGTCATTGGTTTCATTCTGTCTCAGAGTGTTCTGTTGTATTTGTTTTCGTTTTAAAAGCGTTTGAGCGGTTGGGTGAATGGAAACGTCACCGTACTGGTGGTAGCGATGCTTGGATGGTGTTTGCGGGTTTGCTCTTTGTTTTTGTATTCCCTAGTTGGCTTGATTCTTTTATTTTATTTTATTTTATTTTCTGATTGGATTTTCCTATTTATTTGATTTGATTTTTCTTGAATGGTTTTGTCACCATTGCTTTTCTTGCTTGCGCTTTTCAGTTTCTTCTTTCTGATACCCGTTTTGTTTTCAAATAAAGGCGAAGTTCAGTAGTAGTAGTAGTAGTAGTAGTAGTAGTAGTAGTAGTAGTAGTAGTAGTAGTAGTAGTAGTAGTAGTAGTAGTAGTAGTAGTAGTAGTAGTAGTAGTAGTAGTAGTAGTAGTAGTAGTAGTAGTAGTAGTAGTAGTAGTAGTAGTAGTAGTAGTAGTAGTAGTAGTAGTAGTAGTAGTAGTAGTAGTAGTAGTAGTAGTAGTAGTAGTAGTAGTAGTAGTAGTAGTAGTAGTAGTAGTAGTAGTAGTAGTAGTAGTAGTAGTAGTAGTAGTAGTAGTAGTAGTAGTAGTAGTAGTAGTAGTAGTAGTAGTAGTAGTAGTAGTAGTAGTAGTAGTAGTAGTAGTAGTAGTAGTAGTAGTAGTAGTAGTAGTAGTAGTAGTAGTAGTAGTAGTAGTAGTAGTAGTAGTAGTAGTAGTAGTAGTAGTAGTAGTAGTAGTAGTAGTAGTAGTAGTCATTTATTCCCGGGAGGGTACATGCCAAGGGGATCCTCTTGCCATGGCGTTCTACGCTCTCGCGACTGTGCCCCTGGCATCTCGGCTGTCGCGTCGACTTCCAAGCACCAGCCAGATTTGGTACGCGGATGACGATGCCGCAGCCGGAGAGCTCCTGCCGCTGCGTGGGTATTGGGATTGCATCGTGGAGGAGGGGCCCCGGTATGGCTACCACCCCAATGCCATGAAGACGGTTTTACTCGTCCGTCCACATTTAATGGAAAGGGCCCAGGAGGTATTTGCCGGCACTGATGTCCGTATCCGGAGCGACGGCGTTCGTTACCTTGGCGGGGCCATTGGAGACCAACAGTTCCGAGAGAATTTTGTGAAGAGCCGTGTTGAGGAACTGTCCACACTGGTTAGGCGCCTTGCTGGTCTGGCTGTCACCCAGCCTCAGGCGGCCTTTCGCGTCTTCTCTGCCTCTCTGCAGTCCCGTTGGACCTATCTGCAGCGTGCAGTCTTTGTGGACCCTGTCCTGTATACGCCACTGGATGACGTCATCAACAAACATCTGCTGCCAGCATTGACAGGCCATCCTCTTGCGGCTGATGGTGTACTCCGTCAGCTCTTTGCAATGCCTGTGAGGAATGGAGGGTTGGCTATCCGCATTGGCAGTTTGCGTGCGGAGGCTGAGTACCTCCTTTGCCGGACGTCGATAATGCCCATGGTGGATTGCGTGCTGACTGGTGCTGTTGATGGTCCTGATCCTGTTGCCGATATCATCGCTGCCTCCAGGGGCTTGGCCACGCAGGCTCGCCGGGAACGCCGGGCGCAGCACAATGCTGCATTGGAGGAGATCAGGCCCGCTCTGACGGATGAGCAGCGCCTACTAGTGGATGTCGCGGGTGACGGCGGTGTGTCAACGTGGCTGGTTACGCCTCCATCGGCTTCATTTCCTTTAACTATATTCAACAAGTCTGATTTTCGAGACGCATTGTGCCTGAGGTATGGCCTGCCGCTTGATGGCATATCATTATCCTGTGTTTGTGGCCAAGACATGTCAGTTCATCACGCCCTCACGTGCCCAAGCGGGGGATACCCTACCCAGAGACATAATGAACTTCGCGACCTCCTAGCGGACGCACTCGCTAGTGTTGTTTGCGATGTCGAGATTGAGCCACCGCTGATGCCGTTGGGTGGTGAAGCCGTCTCTGGGGGCTCAGCTGACGGTGCTCGTGTGGATATACGGGCTCGTGGCTTCTGGACCAGGCAGCAAAACGCCTTTTTTGATGTACGGGTCACGCACCCAAGGCCGTCTTTGCTGTCTGGACCAGAAGTGTCGAGGCAGTTATCCCAACACGAGCGTCAGAAGAAACGTCAGTATTCCGATCGAATCAACCAGGTGGATCGAGGATCGTTCACTCCGCTTGTTTTCGCCACCAGTGGACAGTGTGCTCCCGAATGTGGCATCTTCCTCAAGACCCTCGCAACACAATTGCACCATAAGAACTCGGACATACCGTATCGTCTCATCATCAGCCACTTGCGCTCGAGAATCAGTCTATCTCTGATGCGGTGGCAGATTACTTGCTTCCGGGGGTCACGTGCATCATACCTACGCAGTGGATCCGGCATTGGCCGACATTGCTTTGTAACGGAGTGCCGTACATTGGCTCATATGCCGCGCTGACGGGCATCAATGGACCATAATATTGTCATTGGTTTCATTCTGTCTCAGAGTGTTCTGTTGTATTTGTTTTCGTTTTAAAAGCGTTTGAGCGGTTGGGTGAATGGAAACGTCACCGTACTGGTGGTAGCGATGCTTGGATGGTGTTTGCGGGTTTGCTCTTTGTTTTTGTATTCCCTAGTTGGCTTGATTCTTTTATTTTATTTTATTTTATTTTCTGATTGGATTTTCCTATTTATTTGATTTGATTTTTCTTGAATGGTTTTGTCACCATTGCTTTTCTTGCTTGCGCTTTTCAGTTTCTTCTTTCTGATACCCGTTTTGTTTTCAAATAAAGGCGAAGTTCAGTAGTAGTAGTAGTAGTAGTAGTAGTAGTAGTAGTAGTAGTAGTAGTAGTAGTAGTAGTAGTAGTAGTAGTAGTAGTAGTAGTAGTAGTAGTAGTAGTAGTAGTAGTAGTAGTAGTAGTAGTAGTAGTAGTAGTAGTAGTAGTAGTAGTAGTAGTAGTAGTAGTAGTAGTAGTAGTAGTAGTAGTAGTAGTAGTAGTAGTAGTAGTAGTAGTAGTAGTAGTAGTAGTAGTAGTAGTAGTAGTAGTAGTAGTAGTAGTAGTAGTAGTAGTAGTAGTAGTAGTAGTAGTAGTAGTAGTAGTAGTAGTAGTAGTAGTAGTAGTAGTAGTAGTAGTAGTAGTAGTAGTAGTAGTAGTAGTAGTAGTAGTAGTAGTAGTAGTAGTAGTAGTAGTAGTAGTAGTAGTAGTAGTAGTAGTAGTAGTAGTAGTAGTAGTAGTAGTAGTAGTAGTAGTAGTAGTAGTAGTAGTAGTAGTAGTAGTAGTAGTAGTAGTAGTAGTAGTAGTAGTAGTAGTAGTAGTAGTAGTAGTAGTAGTAGTAGTAGTAGTAGTAGTAGTAGTAGTAGTAGTAGTAGTAGTAGTAGTAGTAGTAGTAGTAGTAGTAGTAGTAGTAGTAGTAGTAGTAGTAGTAGTAGTAGTAGTAGTAGTAGTAGTAGTAGTAGTAGTAGTAGTAGTAGTAGTAGTAGTAGTAGTAGTAGTAGTAGTAGTAGTAGTAGTAGTAGTAGTAGTAGTAGTAGTAGTAGTAGTAGTAGTAGTAGTAGTAGTAGTAGTAGTAGTAGTAGTAGTAGTAGTAGTAGTAGTAGTAGTAGTAGTAGTAGTAGTAGTAGTAGTAGTAGTAGTAGTAGTAGTAGTAGTAGTAGTAGTAGTAGTAGTAGTAGTAGTAGTAGTAGTAGTAGTAGTAGTAGTAGTAGTAGTAGTAGTAGTAGTAGTAGTAGTAGTAGTAGTAGTAGTAGTAGTAGTAGTAGTAGTAGTAGTAGTAGTAGTAGTAGTAGTAGTAGTAGTAGTAGTAGTAGTAGTAGTAGTAGTAGTAGTAGTAGTAGTAGTAGTAGTAGTAGTAGTAGTAGTAGTAGTAGTAGTAGTAGTAGTAGTAGTAGTAGTAGTAGTAGTAGTAGTAGTAGTAGTAGTAGTAGTAGTAGTAGTAGTAGTAGTAGTAGTAGTAGTAGTAGTAGTAGTAGTAGTAGTAGTAGTAGTAGTAGTAGTAGTAGTAGTAGTAGTAGTAGTAGTAGTAGTAGTAGTAGTAGTAGTAGTAGTAGTAGTAGTAGTAGTAGTAGTAGTAGTAGTAGTAGTAGTAGTAGTAGTAGTAGTAGTAGTAGTAGTAGTAGTAGTAGTAGTAGTAGTAGTAGTAGTAGTAGTAGTAGTAGTAGTAGTAGTAGTAGTAGTAGTCAAAGAACTTTATTGAAAATCCATGATAATTTGATCGGAAAGATGATGGAAGAAAAATCCGAACTCGAGTCAAATCCAGGCAATTATTAGCAGTCACTACTATCAAAGCAGAGTAGTAGTAGTAGTAGTAATAGTAGTAGTAGTAGTAGTAGTAGTTTTTTTTTTTTTTTTTTTTTTTTTTTTGACTCAATCACAACTCTTTATTGCACTCAGAAAAATAATAAGGCACCCATTTTGATAGTCCAGGGGATGGCCCACGCCTGGTAAAAAGAATAATAAACAGAAAAAGAAAAGTAGTAGTAGTAGTAGTAGTAGTAGTAGTAGTAGTAGTAGTAGTAGTAGTAGTAGTAGTAGTAGTAGTAGTAGTAGTAGTAGTAGTAGTAGTAGTAGTAGTAGTAGTAGTAGTAGTAGTAGTAGTAGTAGTAGTAGTAGTAGTAGTAGTAGTAGTAGTAGTAGTAGTAGTAGTAGTAGTAGTAGTAGTAGTAGTAGTAGTAGTAGTAGTAGTAGTAGTAGTAGTAGTAGTAGTAGTAGTAGTAGTAGTAGTAGTAGTAGTAGTAGTAGTAGTAGTAGTAGTAGTAGTAGTAGTAGTAGTAGTAGTAGTAGTAGTAGTAGTAGTAGTAGTAGTAGTAGTAGTAGTAGTAGTAGTAGTAGTAGTAGTAGTAGTAGTAGTAGTAGTAGTAGTAGTAGTAGTAGTAGTAGTAGTAGTAGTAGTAGTAGTAGTAGTAGTAGTAGTAGTAGTAGTAGTAGTAGTAGTAGTAGTAGTAGTAGTAGTAGTAGTAGTAGTAGTAGTAGTAGTAGTAGTAGTAGTAGTAGTAGTAGTAGTAGTAGTAGTAGTAGTAGTAGTAGTAGTAGTAGTAGTAGTAGTAGTAGTAGTAGTAGTAGTAGTAGTAGTAGTAGTAGTAGTAGTAGTAGTAGTAGTAGTAGTAGTAGTAGTAGTAGTAGTAGTAGTAGTAGTAGTAGTAGTAGTAGTAGTAGTAGTAGTAGTAGTAGTAGTAGTAGTAGTAGTAGTAGTAGTAGTAGTAGTAGTAGTAGTAGTAGTAGTAGTAGTAGTAGTAGTAGTAGTAGTAGTAGTAGTAGTAGTAGTAGTAGTAGTAGTAGTAGTAGTAGTAGTAGTAGTAGTAGTAGTAGTAGTAGTAGTAGTAGTAGTAGTAGTAGTAGTAGTAGTAGTAGTAGTAGTAGTAGTAGTAGTAGTAGTAGTAGTAGTAGTAGTAGTAGTAGTAGTAGTAGTAGTAGTAGTAGTAGTAGTAGTAGTAGTAGTAGTAGTAGTAGTAGTAGTAGTAGTAGTAGTAGTAGTAGTAGTAGTAGTAGTAGTAGTAGTAGTAGTAGTAGTAGTAGTAGTAGTAGTAGTAGTAGTAGTAGTAGTAGTAGTAGTAGTAGTAGTAGTAGTAGTAGTAGTAGTAGTAGTAGTAGACATTGGCATGGTCAACATCTAACCGATCCCAGGAAGCGCGGCTTGACGTCAGGGCTCGTGGCTTTTGGACGCGGCAGCAGGAGGCCTTCTTCGATATCCGGGTAACGCATCCCAGGGCCACCTTGCTGTCTCGTGAAAAAGCCATGAGCCAATTGGAGCGCAATGAGCGGGAAAAAAAGCGGCATTACGCAGAGCGAGTGAATCAGATCGATCGGGGCACATTCACCCCTCTGGTATTTGCCACCAACGGCATGATAGGGAAGGAGTGTTCCGTGTTTTTGAAGGCATTGGTTGGCCGTATTCTAGAGAAAAATGCTGATTTGGTGTATTCTGTTGTTGTCAATCATTTGCGATGCCGTTTGTCATTTTGCCTACTTCGCTGGTGTATCACCTGTTTACGTGGCTCTAGGTCCTCCTATCGCTCTAAGCGCTCGGCGAGCTCTGTGAATGACTGCCGTGTGCTCTCTAGGGCATAGTTTTTCTTTGTCATCATCTCGTATAATGTCAAAATGTGATCTAAAGTTTGTTTTCCGGTGTCCTGAAGTTTTTTCTTTTGTATGAATCTCGGTTTCATTTCTGGCGGTGTTCAAGCAGTTCTGGTTTGGATGTTTTTCTTTCCTTTTCCTTCCCCTTTTTCATGTATAACATTGCTGTTGCCATTAATATTTGTTATCTTTCTATTTTGTTACAATTTTGCTGTTCGCCTTTTGAATTCATTGCCCTCCTTGCATTCACATCTTCATTGCTTTGTGCTTTCAATAAAAACACATTTCAGTAGTAGTAGTAGTAGTAGTAGTAGTAGTAGTAGTAGTAGTAGAATTTATTATGTACAGTAGGCTCAGGTGGATTATGCTCTCGAAATCATGCAATTATGCTTTCATGGATACTCGCATTATGCTCACAAAATCCTCATATTATGCTGCAATACATAATATTCACTTTGTTGTGCTTATGGATAGGGTCCAGCGGTTAATGCCGGCAATATTAGATTCGGTATTATGCGCCTATCGGAACATTATGGAGCATTATAAAGGAACAAGACGAGCATAATGTGATTTTTGAGCGGTATAACGAGTTTCATAGTGGATAATAGAGAGGTTCCGCACTACGTAAAGTTGAGCAACTTTACGTTAGTGGGCGGGGAAAACCCGTGAATTCGCGAGTTTGCACTCCACTTACGGAAAGTTGTCTACGTAGAGTACGTAGATAGGGCTCTGATAACGTAGCTGGTCCGTAAGTGGATTGGGGTACAAATTTATGACTCTCTCCCCAGGTCGATCTGGTCGTACACTGCCGCATTCGGAGTTGCCAAGGGCAGCTACGTGATTTGAAAACTCCGTATGGCGGAACACAGATGCGCATGCAGTTTACGTAAGACTTTCGTAGATCGACTACGTTTTTTACTAACGTAATTACGTTATGCGGAACCTCTCTAATAGAGAGGTTCCGCACTACGTAAAGTTGAGCAACTTTACGTTAGGGCCCGGTCACACATGCACTCGAAAGTAGCGTATACGCTGAAGCGAGGTCGCAGGAGCGAAAAATGGCATGGCAACGGCGAAAAGCGGAACTTCCGCTTCAGCGGAAACTCCAATCCGCTTCCGCCAAAATTTTCGAAGCGAGACTGTCGCTTCTGCGGATTCGCTTCCGCGGAAAACACCACGGTCTGCTGTATATACAAAAAAATTTGTAGACTTGCTACGAGAAATTTGTATGCGTATGATGTCCATGCAACAAAAATGCGTGCAAGATAGTCATTGACCTCGTCTATTCTCCGTACCGTATGTACCACAGTCCACTTTACTCTCATTCTCCAACGCCTTCAACCGGTTGAACCGCAAAGCCTGCCTCCTGAACATCCGCCATCTCTGCCCGGCACTGGCCCCAGTGGTCATTAATACGTACCGATCCCCTGCTCGTCTCTATGTCGACGGAGAAAGTATTCTATCGTGTGAAGGCACCACCCAGGGTGACCCCATTGCCATGCCTATGTATGCCTTGGGTGTCACCCCGCTTATCGCTGATGTTGCTTCTGCCGACGTGGTACAGGAATGGTACGCGGATGATTCTTCAGCTGGCGGCCGCCTACGCCCGCTACGGCGATGGTGGGATGACCTGAATGCAAAAGGGTCGGATTATGGGTACTTCCTGAATGCAACAAAGTCGATCCTGCTCGTGAAACCCGAGGCGTACGAGGAAGCCACTGTGATTTTTGCTGGTACTGGTGTGCGTATTGAGAAGGATGGTTGTCGTCATCTAGGAGCAGCCCTTGGCACGCCGTCCTTTGTGGAAGAGTACGTTGCTAATAAGGTCACCGACTGGGTCCAGCAGATTCGTCGTCTAGCTGAATTTGCATCGACTCAACCTCAGGCAGCCTACAGTGCCTTCATTCAGGGACTACAGCCGCGGTGGTCCTTTCTCTCAAGAACCCTTGAGGATGCTCCTGCACTGTTTGGTCGTCTTGAAGACGTGATTCGGGACATCCTGATCCCAGCTCTGACAGGCCACGCGCCACCGTCTTCTCAGGAGCGTGCACTGCTGGCCTTCCCATGTCGCCATGGTGGTCTTGGCATCACCGACCCGACATCTATGGGCGGCAACTACCGCAATTCACGCAAGATCACGACATCCCTGTGGGAGAAACTAATCGCCCAAGATTCCTCCCTAGATGGCACCGCGGCGCAAGTTCTCCGCATGAAGGCAGAGGTACGTACGACCTTGCGAACCAACCTCCTGGCAGCCGTGAAGTCTTTCAAGGATGGTGCTGGAGCAGAGCTTGAGCTGCAATTGACCCTAGCTTCGGAGAAGGGGGCCTCCAGCTGGCTGACTTGCCGCCCTCTAGCCATCCATGGATTTCGTTTGTCCAAGGCGGAGTTTCGCGATGCCCTCTGTCTCCGGTACGGGTGGACACCAGCACGCCTGCCATCAGGATGCGTCTGTGGCCACGGTAACTTTGACGTCACCCATGCCTTGTCCTGCAGTACTGGGGGATTCCCCAGTATTCGACACAATGAAATTCGAGACCTCACGGCTGATGTTCTGCGTCAGGTCACGCATGGTGTGTGCACAGAACCGATGCTGCAGCCAGTCACCGGAGAGAAATTCCGGCTTCTGTCCACAACGACCGCTGATCAGGCTCGTCTTGATGTTGCCGCCAACGGAATCTGGGGTGGCCGATTTGAGCGCACCTTTCTTGATATAAGGGTTTTCAACCCCTACGCTGCCTCAAATCGCGCTGCCTCAGTTTCCTCAGTGTATGCACGTCATGAAAAGGAGAAACGCCGGAGATATGAGCAGCGTCTGCTTGAGGTTGACCGCGCCACGTTCGTGCCAGTAGTGCTGTCAGCCACTGGTGGCACTAGCAAGTGTGCATCGGCCCTGTTCAAGCGTCTTGCCAGCATGCTATCTGACAAGCTGAAGGAGCCGTACTCCGTGACGATGGCATGGCTTCGCTGCAAGCTAAGCTTTGCATTAGTCCGAGCTAGCGTGATGTGCCTTCGTGGGGCAAGATCATCCGCACACCGTGTCACCAGGGACCCCGCGTCTGTAGTGGTAGCCGAGGCACGTGTTTCCTTGCAGGACTGTTGAACTAAAGTCAGACATGTACATTTTTGTCTAGAGGTCTGTCATGTACTTGTCATGATTCTTTTCTATTTTATTCTTTTTACCAGGCGTGGGCCATCCCCTGGATTATCAAAATGGGTGCCTTATTATTTTCTTTTTTTCTTTTTCTTTTTCTGTTTATTCTTTTTACCAGGCGTGGGCCATCCCCTGGACTATCAAAATGGGTGCCTTATTATTTTTCTGAGTGCAATAAAGAGTTGTGACTGGTCCGTAAAAAAAAAAAAAAAAACTTTACTCTCATTTTCCGCCAAAGTAGGAGTTGTGCCCTGTTTGCATGTGTGACCATACACACGTTGTTCCGCTGGAGCGACACCAGGCTCCCTGCCGCCGAACCTCGTCGCCGAAGCGAAACCCCAGTGCATGTGTGACAGGGCCCTTAGTGGGCGGGGAAAACCCGTGAATTCGCGAGTTTGCACTCCACTTACGGAAAGTTGTCTACGTAGAGTACGAAGATTTTTTTTATTTTTTTATTTTATTTTTTTTAGGTTCACTAAAGCGGGATTCACAGAAGCTTTTTTGCGATGCGACACGCGATGCGACGCGATCTGCGACGGACGCGTGCGATGCGAACTCGCGAAATACCATTCACAGAAGAAGTCAGCGATGCGACACATTTTTGCAAAGTCTTGCTGATTTGAGAACGTCACCATGATATTTGCGCGGTTTGGTACCACCTGTACAAATTTATAGGCAACTCTTGCACCTTTGTACAACTTTGCTGTAGAAAAGGTCAAAATCGTACGCCAAATCGCTTGTCGCATCGCATCGCATCGCAAAAGTTGAGCTAAGCTCAACTTCTGCGATGGCCAGCGATGGCCCAGTTGCGGCAGTTGCGTGGGGTGCGACATGGCTGCGATTTGGGGTTTTCCCGGTTTCGCGCCTGTCGCATCGCGTGTCGCATCGCAAAAAAGCTTCTGTGAATCCCGCTTTAGCCTCTTGTACGGGCAAAATAACACATTTTGTGAAGAATCAACACATAAAACGAATCATCAGATACGCGAAAGGCTTAGGGCCTGGTCAGACTGCGGCAAAATCGAAATAATCCTAGGATTATAATCCGAATCTCCATAGTAACTTGCCGCCAGAGCGGCAAAAGCGAGAGTTGACGCTCCAAAAAAAAAGCAAGAACGGGCCACGCTTTTCCGCTCCAAACAGGATTTGACGCTGATACGCCATTGACGCTGATAATCACTGATTTTTCCATCTCGATATCGAGGAGCTAATTGGCCACGGACAACAACAAAACTCATAAGGATGGTTGCAAGGATTGCACTGAAGGTGTTGGCGATCCCAAGGTGAAGGAATTTGACGTCGTTCGTGGAGATTACCACTTGACGCTCGAAATGAAGTTTGAATTTTCATTCTCCCCACATGTGTAGTGTGATCGCGATTCGAATTCTGGACGCTGTTCTTTTTTCGTCAGGCAACCAAAAGTTGCCGCAGTCTGACCAGGGACAAGCTTATCTATTTTTGCGGATTTTCTTTCATAAAAAATAAACGTCACAGGCTGCTCTTCGGAGGTGTCCGCGTCACAGCGGTCCGGGCAAGCGACCGCATCTCAGTGGGACACTTGTCCGTGGTCTTTGTACTGGAATTTGTGGGAGAGCCTTTCCAGGGACTACACACCTGGGTACCGGGTACGCGGGTACCGGGTATGGACAAATCTCTGGCGCGCGGGGCTCCTTTTTTGTTCCTTTCCTTCTTATTTGTTTTTGCTGAGAAAGAAACGTTGCTGGATATGGAAAGCTTTCTGTTCCCGCCAGGGCCTTTGCTCTAGTAAAACATTGCTGGCTGATAATGGTCATTGCTCGTGATGTCAGCTTGCCATTTCCAACTTCCTGACTCTGAAAATGTAGCTTGAACTACTTGTAATAATAATAATAATAATAATAATGACAGTTCGCATTTCACTCATTGCATGAGGTCAACGCATCTGTTAACAATTTCGAGCCAAGCAGCTCTATCAGAAGCAGATTGCACAGCATCCAGAAGCGACAGATTAATGCATTGTAAGTCTTTCTTGACAACGTCGATCCATCTCAGACGTGGTCGTCCTCGGGGTCGTCGTATGTCTGTTGTGTTGATTGACATTAGGAGGGCTTGGAACGAGGACGATTCTTCGCCTTCCCTCACTACATGGCCGAACCACAGCAGTCTCCGTTGCCTGCAGACTTGAGATAGTGGGGTCTGCTCGGTTCTGGCATACAGCGCTGTGTTCGAGATTCGTTGTGGGTACGTGATACCAATGATGGTACGTAGTTTTTTCCGGTGCCATACATTGACGACGTCGGTTAATGTTTACTTGTAAGAGCTCCAAATATTTCAGTTTTTCGATGAGCCAGACCTATTGTTGCGACCTGCAGAGATGAGGAGCAAGTGAGGCGTTGGATTAATGCCAATAATGGTGTTTATGGCTCGGACGACGCAAGCGGTTTTCACTTGTCAGGAGGACAGCCAAGTTGGAGCTGGCAGATGACAGATTATTAACTTTGAGCATTTATAGCAGAGTGGGTGGCTTGCCAAAGAGAATCGTCTCAGTACTTCATGGTTACTAGTATCTGACAAATGCCTCTTATTGCTAGTCTGCACTAGAGCATTAGCAGAATTGATCATGTCACAAGTAGTGTCAAGACTTGATGTCCTACGATTATACTCAGATCATGTTGCTACTTCACGGGAATATTCGTCCTGCCACTGTACACTCTTCCAGAATTGCATGCAGAAGTCACATGCCTGTCACAGTTTGCAAGGGACAACGCGTTTGCACTGCTTACGGATTCAAGCGGATGGAGTGCAGACCAGATAAGAAGACATAATCCGGCTATTCAAATAGCTTGGGCTGCTAGACTCCTGGAAACATGGACAAGCATCTAAACCAGTCCACGGAAACAATATCACGCCACACAGGAAGCTAAATGGCAAACCAATCAAGTTCTTTGGTAGTGAAGCCGTTCACCAACATTGTCCGGTTGCATGGCTAATGTCACTCAAACTAGACCAATGGATGTCACATGTACCTAAAAGATACGCTGTTGATCAACCACAACTCTAATACCACTGAGCAGCGTCTTCTATACAGATCCGATTAGATATTCAAGTATATGAGTGGAAGTTGCTGGTATAGTCTCTCCTAATGACTGCGGATTTGGCATAATGTTCTCTATACTACACTCTAGAGCTACTTACCTTTTCCGACATTGAACTCAGGCAGTGACCACTCGCCCGCAGAATGAGCCAATTGACACAGAAGCTAAGTACCATGTGCATCCGTCGCGAGAGAAACACGCAAGTCTGCAAGTGAAGTGGATGTACACCCACTGATTTTCTCTTATGCCGGAACGTTAGATGCTCATCGATTAGTATACCGAGATATTTCACAGTAGAGACAGGGGAAATGACAATACCTTTACAGGTCAGGTACAGGGCTGGGCTCAGTGCAGGCAGGGCAGGACGCCGTATCAACATGAACTGTGTTTTAGTGGGGTTGAGCAGAAGGCCTTTCTCATCAAGGTATTGCTCTAGCAACCGCATACTATCCTGCAAGCGTAGCATAATTGTAGCCACATCAGAGCCGAATACGTAGAACGCAATATCATCAGCGTGCAGCTGCACGACACTCTGGTGAAATATATCGGGTACCCGGCGAATGTAGACGCAGAAAAGCAAAGGCCCAAGAACAGACCCCTGGGGGACCCCTCTTGTACAGGGTTTGGTGTCACCCTTCTCACCATTGACAGTAACCTGCTGGCTGCGGTTCGTGAGATAGTCTGAGAACCACTTGAGGACAGTGCCGCCTAGCCAGTGGTGGCTAGCTCTCCCAGCAGACCTGTGTGCTGCACACGGTCAAACGCCTTGCTCATATCCTTTCCGTAGATCGACTACGTTTTTTACTAACGTAATTACGTTATGCGGAACCTCTCTAATGTCGGGAAATATCAGGTTTTTGGCAACAATCGGCTAAAGCCATGACACGGCATGAGGTGCAACGCAATGATTGTATTGTACCAAGTGATTTGGCTTTTTTTAACATTTGGCATTTTTTAACAAATGTGTAAAATTTGCTTTTCTTCTGGCTGTTTCTCTGCTTCTGATGACTGTATCGAAACATGGGTGGTGGCAAATGAGAGCCAGTCTATCGTAGATCAACATTGACCAGAAAATTTGGTGCATATAATTTAATTCTCCCTGCTACGTCGGTATAACTAGTGGTGGGTGCTTTGCCATTTTGTGTAAAATGAGCCCCTGAATGGACGAGCAGGGCAGTGAATTGCTTCCGCAGGGCCTTTGGACGACGTCAAGCCGTCTTGCCATCACTAAAGACAGTAATGAAGAACAGTAGGTCACGGAATACACTCTGTGAAAACAAAAACATGGCTGCTATGCTATGCTACCTATCCAATTCCACCAAATAACACAGCCACTAGTTACAAATACAAAAACACGGCTCTCGCAGCATACAATGCAGTTCACTCCTCTGTTGACAGATTAATTTTCATCCACTAGCCATCCTTGAAGTGATATCTATCAACTTCAGAACATTGATGACCGAATATCCCAGTTCGTGATATCATTTTACAAATTTGTTAAAAAATGACACACCAATTATTTGAATACTGAGAATACTATGAAAGTAGGACATGATTCAAGACACTTTCCAAAGTGGGATCATTCCCATTTTGGACACAGCGGGCATGAAGGATAGCACTTCCACTTGCAACAATTCATTTGGACGTAGCTGGTCTAGAAGTAGGCACCGGCGGATAATGCTAGTTATATGAGGAAATTGTGCTACTAGCACTGCTAGTTATTTGGAGCGATTATGCTAGTTATAATGCTAGCAGTGCCGATAGTGCTACGAAAATGTCAATCCATACGGTGGGAAATAATGACTTCCCTATGCAGTCACTCGGAATATGGCAGTATCACAGGACAACTCCAGACCTGCCAGACTCTTTGCCAGTACATGGAAGCGAACAAATCTCTGATGAATCTTGAAATCTGCATCCACATACCGCAGAACCACTGCAAGTGCCTCTCCCAGGCGGGAAGTTCCATCAAATATGACAGCCACATACGGTGCACCTGATATCTCCTTCTTTAATTCATCTTCCTCCTTGCAGTGCAGGAATGGAATCAGCTGAGCCATGTGAGTGCTATATGTTAAACGTCCGTAACCACTCTCCAGGAGAGGGC